TCAAATGACTTATAATTTAAAAACTAAATGTTAGTATCTGATTTTTCTTTAAAAGCGGACGTTAAAATACAAACAATTTAGTTTAGTTAAAATATGAATAAAATCATAAATTAAGCTTACCCATCTTAATTTCTTTAAACGTGGCTTTGAAATTTGAAAAAAAATTTAAACCCTTATGTAAACCTTAATTAATATAAAGTATTTAACTTTCAAGGGAAAGAACAAAAGTTAATATCTGGTTTTAGCTTAAGATTGCGAGAAATTTTTTTCAATACATAAATCAAAGTCAAATCTGAATGCAATACTTATTTCTACTTTAATATAAATCAACGACTGTAGATTAAACTAATTATTTGACAAAAATGTAACACTTATAAATTGATGCACAGATAACAAAAACTCTCACACTTTACAAAGATACATAAAAAGCTGACATGTATAAAACTTGAATTCAGATAAAATCGATAAAACTAGGTAAAAATATTGTACAAAATACAAAAACAGGCAAAAAAAGCCTATGATATTGTTCTAAGCGAACTTCTCTATTGCGTTCTTTTCACAAAGAACATTGATACAGAAAATTGTTTTTAGTAGATAAAGCACTACATAGAAAATCTTGATAATACTTATGTAAAAGCAACTGTAGACAAAAAAGCACATATATGTTTAAAAACTTGGCGGTGTAAATTATGTAAAAAATGCAGTCGCTTTTAAAACCATTAAAATGTACACAAGAAATTTAACTATGTACTGTGAATTCTTCAGAGGTTTAGATTATAATGTTAATTGGAAATATTTATGCATAATACACTTAATGTTTACTAGTTACTATTTTTCTTATTAAAAATAATAACATTTCAGTTTTAAATATTAAATATGCACCTTTAAAATAACCTAGTTGTAGTATTTTAATTTATTTATGAAGTATTCTATTAAAACACTCCTTTATTAGTTTTCCTTCCATACTTTTAAGCATATTTATTGCATGGGGTTTTATCACATTATTTTATTATCACATCTAAAATCTATTTTACTTCTTTCATATTTCTTTTTAAATTATCAACTGTGTATAAAGTTTTAAATATTTTCAATACGCAAATAATATTAATTTTACAGCATAGGATATTATAGTTTTACTTATTAAATACTTACTCGATTTTTATAATATATTTAGCTTCTTAGGAAAAGGAAAATATAAAGATATTTTAAACTGCATTCAATACATTTTACAAATACTTTTTTTATTGAAAAAATGAAAAATATAGCAGTTTCATTTTTTTGTCAAATTCATTTTCCACTTCTACATTATATCATTTTAATCCATTTGTTGATTATGTTTTTGGTAAAACACACACTTTCAAGAAATACCAGTTGAACGCTGATCCATAATACCACTAAAATTTGCTACAATATTAATAAGACATAATGTTAAACCTTTTTTTCCGCCTAAACATCATACATGTCAAACCATAGTATCAAGTCAAAAAATTTTATAAGACTTAAATTGTATGTTATAATATTTCAACTTCTCGTCTTATTAATGAAGGCAGGAATTTTTATCGATGTTACGACTCAACTTGTCATCTAATTAATAATGGCAGCAATTCGTAACGATGTTATGACTCAACTTGTCATCTAATTAATAATGGCAGCAATTCTTAACGATATTATGACTCAACTTGTTATCTAATTAATAATGACAGCAATTCTTAACGATATTATGACTCAACTTTTTATCTAATTAATAATGGCAGCAATTCTTAACGATGTTATGACTCAACTTGCCGTATTATCAATAATGGTAGCAATTTTTAACGATGCTATGGTTCAACTTGTCATGCTATTGATAATGGTAGCAATTTTTAACGTTGCAATAGTTCAACATGCTCCAAAATCTCTAACGGTGTAGATTTTCAGAAAATTAAAATTCTAATGAATCAAAAGAAAATTTTCAAATGTAATATGAGGGTGCTAAACAATTTTCCACCAGTACACAAATGCTAGAACCGTGCCTCCAAGTTGTATATTCCAAAGACAGTCTCTAAATTAACGGAGTCGTACAAGAGGATATAGAAATAATGTGAACTGTACAAGCAATCTAAGTAATGTTTTAAGTATTGACTAAGTTGATGTAAAGGACGCTTTTTACTAAAAGATCCATGAATTTAAGATTCGAAAAACACATCTTTACATGGAAAGTAGTGGCAGTGAAAATCGCTGGTTCCATGCACTCAAAGATGCATTTTCAAAACACTGTACATTGACAATTCTTTAGTTATATAAAAATAATATACTTAATTTCCCTTCATTTTGCACGTCAACAAAAAAAAAAAAAAAAAAACCAATTCTNAAAATCAAAAAAAAAAAAAAAAAAACGAAAACAACTCCAACTACTGTATCAAATAATCTGTACCTATAGTAATCCCAATGCTATGCTTATTCTACTTTTGTCTATCTACTTTTTAAACCATATACCTTTAAAATGATAAATAAATTATGCTTTATGATGAGCGAGATACGTCAGATTTCAAATTTGCATCATATGTTTAGTCATCGATAATTATTTAAAGGGAAAATTCTTCTAAAGCATTTGGACGCACTATATTAGTTTTTACGAAAATAATCTCTGTGGGATTACTATATTAAATATATTATTGCTTCTGGCGTAAAAAACCCATCCTCGTGATTCTTTTATTGCATAAGAATTTATTGATAATAATTTTAATAATTGAACACTTACCATGCTTTTTTTTAACTAAAATTATTAATTATTGATAAACTGTATTTTTTTATTAGCTTAATAAATATAGAATCATTTATATTTATTTATAAAAATGTTTTTTTTAATATTTACGATGGATTTTCTAAGTAAAATGAGCTTAGGTGCAAAAATATTTTCACCCAATTCCTGCAACAGCCTGTCAAGAGTTACATGGAGGTTAAGGCTCCATAATTTCATGACCAACGGAATGATTGTAACAATGTGGTCAGCATTGCGCACAGGTCGCCTTTACTTACCAGACAAGCTGGTACCCATCGATCTGAAACTAAGCGGGCTTCGAGCCGCTACTGAGGATCGAACCCCTGTTCTTCACATTAACAGTGAGACAATGACAGCTTTATCCACTAAGCCATTGCGGCTCAATTATCAAAAGCAGCACTTGATTTATAATACTCATATATTTTTAAAACTTTTATGATTAATGCTTCAATTATAATTAATCATTATCAATGAAATATATATAGTTAAAATGAGCTCAATAAGTAATGATGGAGCAATATGCGTTACTTTTCAACTCAATCAATATGTTTTAAAAGGTAGTTTTTCAAATATTATTATCACATGCAATTCGCACTTCAATTAAATGAATATGAATATACTAAAACTGATATAAATCCAGTTTCTATAAGTAGTTGGAATTATTTTCGACATTTAAGGACAAAGGTATTTATCGTTTTCAAAATATTCTGATGAAGTAGAGAAATTGGGGAAACATATTCTAATAAACAAACACAAAATTAAGAAAATAAACATGAAAATAGTTTTCTTCCAGCAAACATCTACTATTTATTTTTTTGAAATTAAAACATATTGCAAGTCTAGCAAGGATTAAATTATAAATATAAAAGAATCGAATATTTTATAATACAAATAAATGCTTTACATGAAAATAATACATTCCAAAAACATTTAGTGACAAAAAGAGATAATAAATGAATACTTCATTGGAGCAAATTAAGTTCATGTAAATTTTTTTATCTAATAACGATTACGTTCAAATATTGGTGATTTTGTTTAAATTGATGACGTTTTGTACAGAATAATTTTGACCTGACCTTATTCTCCGAAGAAAAATTAAGTATCATTTATCAGATTATGAATTAACTTAGTAGCTTATTTTAAAATAACTCTCAGAACAAAATAAAAATAAATTAAACTATATGATGAATATAGATTTTATATATTTATATACAATACATTCTACATAAAGATATTAAATCATTCTATTTTTATAATAAATTCTCATGAGATGTGTTAAATTTATAAATAACAAACTAATAATAAACAATTCTTAACATTTAACAAGGAAAGGTTTTTATTAAATATTAATCAGTTATAAAAATCTTAAAGTATTTGGGATAATTAGAACATATGTTTAAATTATTAAGACATTTAATATATTATCAGAAAGAAGACATAATTTTTTTTTAGCAAAACAAGTTTATAATTAAAAATTAAACGTGAAATAAAAAAAATTCAAATACCGAATATCTTTTTTTTCTTCTTTTTTTTTTTAAAGAAATTACATTATCTATAGTAAATAAATTTAACTTTTATTCTTTTAAATTTTTTCAATCTGCTTAAATAGTTGAAGAATATCTAAAAAAAGCTACTTCAAAAATGTTTTAATTTAAAGTTGTTTTTCACTAATTTAAAAAAATAATGATTCACAATTTTTTAAAAAGAAAAAATTTATTTAGAACTTTTCTTTTCTGTGTAAAATAGAAATTACAAGAAAATACGTTTTAAAATGTTAGGGTAATTTAATAACTTTAAAAAAAATCAAGATAAATCTAAAAGACTTTTAATAAAAATGAAGAGTGTAGATGCAGATATTGTATAAACTTTCACAACAGTGGAGAACATAGTTTAGACAAAGTATGTTCTACTGTTCATTAACACTTATTTAGTAAATTAATTTTAATGATTCAAATTTGCAATTAACTTTACATATTTAAATAAGTTATTAACTTAATTGATTTAACTAGCTGATTAATTGGAAGTCAGTAATAACAGAATGAATAAAGTTTCAACTATATATACAATCATTTAAGATTTTAAGTTTATTATAGAAAATACTTTATATTTATCTTAATTATTTTATGAAAACAAAATTAACTAACAAATATTGAAAAATATTTCAAAGTTAATTGTTGTTTTAACCTTTCCTTGCTAACCAGCACACAGATAGCTGTCTCCAATATTTTTGCATTCAAAAGCATATACCATACTTCATTCAAATACTTTATTTCTATCAAGCACTAGAGAAATAACTATGCTTAATTTTCCTTCAAACAAGTTTTTACAAAGAAGGACAGTACTTACACACACATATAACCGGGATTCATTTCATTTTAGCTTCTTTGTTTTGCTTGCCATAAATCAAAACAAAACACATATAGCTATAAAAAAAAACACTTTTCTATAACCTTAAATTACAATTCACTACATGACTATGCATTCTCCAAAGAAATACTCCGTGCATGTTTCACACCAAGGGAAAAAATAACACCTACGAAATCCAACAATTTTTTTATCTATACAATAACAAACACATCATACTCAGATAGCGTTTACTTTGATTGATTGAATGAATCAATCAATCTCACCTATCATTTTCCTTCCTCCTAATCAACAGTCAAAAACAGATCGCTTAAAAACATTCAGTTTTCATGTATTTTGCATTTTCTTTTCAGAAAGTCCGTCTTTTTTCTTTCACATCAAGGAACTGGAAAATATAATTTCTTAATAATGGCAGTGAAATAGCTACTTAAAACAGTTTAATTCTCTGACAGAGGATCTTCAATTAATAGAGATTCTCCAAGTTAATTCTAAAATTCATACCTTAGTACGTTCAAGTATACAACTTGCAATTGTCATTGTCCCATTCCAGAAAAACTTAATTCACAGATGGAAAAACGCCTTTTTAAAAATATTAAAAATGTCTGTATTTTATATATCGAGAGCAACTTTTGTTTCACACCCTTTTTCATACATTATCATGGCATCAATATCATGGTCCAAATAAGAATTGCTATAATCATTTATTAAACCAATCAACATGGGAATTGCACAAACTTCAAATACATATCATAATTTTTTTTCTTAAAAATTAAGGATCAAAATATTTTAATGGAAGCTATCATAGTTACCATTCAGATTTCCATATTTCTAGCTGGTATGCTTACTTTATCTCCAAAAAAGATTAGGAAATACATTGATCTTCTAATTAAATGGATACTGCCATAGCTGCCATGCAAACATCATTATTTATTGTTGGCATGTAGGTATTCATACATCTCACTGATATACAGACACTCTTACTTTCCCTTCAAAGATGGTTAGGAAATACATTCATCTTTTCCTTAAATGGATGCTGCCATAGCTGCCATGCAGATATCCATATTTCTTGTTGGCAAACAGATACCCAAACTTCTAGCTGACATGTAGATGCTCCTACCTTACCTTCAAAGATGGTTAGAAAATACGTTCATATATTTAAGAGGAAGCAGTCATAATTGCCATGCAGATATCTATATTTCTTGTTGGCATGCAGATATTCATCCGTCCAGCTGACATGCAGATACTCTCCAAAGATGGTAAGGAAAAACATTCGTCAAGTGCTTTGTCTTTAAAATCACTTATACCCAGTAACATCAAATCTGAAAACATGCAAAAGCCACCAAACAATTGGCATTTTAAACATTACCACCAGAAAATCATTCTTAAGGCATTTACAACATGGTCAGAATACAAGGTTTTTAAATTTACATTGTAAAGAAAAAGGTAAAAAAAAAATAATAAACAGCACTTCTTAGTTTAAAGAGCACACCAAGTCAGACACAAATTCTTTAAATGGAATGCTGAGTGTTTTTAAAAACTTCAAAAAGATTAAGTGGAGGATGTCTGGATGATGTTTCAGCTGATGATTTTCCAATCAAGTTTTATTAATATGGTTTGTTGATTTTGTTGAGAAGAATACTTGTATTTGAAGACAACTGTTTTTGATTACTTCAAGTAGCACACGCCCTTGACGAATGATATCAAATTCTTGTATCAAAAAACAAAAAAATGTGTATAAAAAAGGCCAAGAGATGAAATTCAATTTTTAAGCACCCATTGAGTTGCAATATGTTTATATATATATATTATCCCGTCTCATTCCTAAGGCTAGTATTGAGAAAGAGAGGCACATAGAACATTTTACTCTCGACCACTAAACGGGCTATACTCTCCACTTCTGGAATAAATGTGAGAAGGTCTGCAAACCTCGAAGACTGTAGGGGGAACCTGTGTTCAACAAACACTTGAAGTGCTTTCATGTATCTGTCATGGATGGCTTCCACTTCTTTTTGTCGTTCTTTCATTTCTTCTGTTAGTTCACCTGCTCTGCATTGTTCTCTGACCCCTTCTGCAAGAATTGAAATAAAGTCAATTAGATCTTTGCATAAATACTGCAATAAAATAAAGCATTTTGCAACTTTAAGAAAATAAGGTAAAAACATAACTTTGCGTTTTAGGAATGAGCAAGGGTAGGGTGAGATATTGCAAAAAATAGTTTTTGTTTTCCAATGAGGTGAACCTGATACAAATGAGGTGAATCGATACGAATTCCGCAACCTAATCGCACCGACCACAGTGGTGATGTAAAATAGTCTCAGTGGAAGATGGATTAAGGGTAAAAGCCATCAGTTTAAGCGTGGGAGGATTTCGTGATTTTACTCTCCCTGTAACGCAAATGCAGGTTAGTTTCATCAAGAAAAAAATTTGACTTCGTCGAGGATTTTTTGATCCGCATTTGCGTTACATGGAGAGAAAACCCACAAAAACCTCCCACAGTTAGCCTTATGACAAGGAGACTCTAACCCATGATCTGTCTACCACTGAGGATATTTTATGTCGTACGAAATTCGTATCGACCAGCCATCACTGAGGTTCGAACCCGGGACACCTAATTGGAAGGTGAGTACTCTATCCATTGGGCAACCGTGACTGGTGGGATGGTTTGTTTCATAATCGTCGTTGAACAACCGACCCGATTTTGAGTTCACCACTACCAATGTTCAACCTGGAAGACTTGTAATTTTGAACTCAGTCCAGAAGACAAGGGAACTCCTTGATCAAGTATTAAGAGAAATTTGCCTTCATAGAGGACTTTTAGCTGAGACTAACCCGCCTTTGCGTTACGTGGAGTGGGAAACTACGAAAACCTCCCACGGTTAGATAGACGGATTTAACCATAAATCAGGAAATTTTTTATCGAATTTTTTTCTACATATATAGTTACATAATGAAAAAGTTTCTTAGTCTACGCGTATTTAAAACTTATTACAGACAATTATGAAGTTCATTTTTGAAAGAAAATTTCATGCAATCAATAACTTTTAGTAAATATTTATTATTTTCTTTAATAATAATCGAAATTTTTTAAAATTGTATAAAATTTTTTACATCTTTTTAAAGAACGTAATTTTACATGGCAAAATGCAAAATCTAAGCAAAATCGGTCTAATAGTTCTTGAGAATTCGAATTTAAAAAACAAGCCTCTTTTTTCATTTAACTAAATGATAATAATGATTTATTACCTGATGATTCCATGATGATAACTTTTAAACTCACATATTCTTCTATACACAATCCCATCCTTCGAAAAGTGTCTGCCAAGCGTGCCAGTCTTTCAACAAGCGGCCCAGCCTCTTTAAGCTCTTCAAGTCCTATAGATTCACCGATCATAATGGCCAAACATTCTCTTAACGAACTTAAACAACTAGAAACAACCTGTGCGATAGTGATGGGTGGCGTCCCTCTGATGGCCAGGAAGGCGCAGGCTGTCAGCACCAGAAGCTCGTGCCACTTGTTGGTCAGCAGCTGCAAAAGTAAGTTAAATTGCAACAAACACCACACAAGGGTAAGATGAAGAAAGTTCTAGTGTTCCTTTTGCTTATATACGTACATGAAAGAAAGTCACAGTGGAATTTTCGGTGTACTGTAATGACTACCATTAACATTTTTTTGGAATCCTTGCCAAAAATAATAACAGAACAAGTACACGCATCAGGAGTCGTTAATTAAAACTTAGGCCCTGCCTATACAGTGGCAGATACAGCTGGGGGGGATCATAGGGGTCACGACCACCCTCCAAATTGCAAAATAAAATAAAAATAATAATTTTTTTAATAGTTTACAAAAGAAATAAAAAATTTTACCCATCCGTCAAGATGTAGTTGAGAATTTTAATAACTCTACCAGTTAGTGCAGCAACAACAGAACGTTCCTTTTCAACTCTTCGACGTCTCAAAACTTGGCTCAGAGCAACTCAAAATCAAGAACGATTAAATGGACTCGCATTATTAAACATTCATCGAGAAATTAATTTGGATGTTGAAAAAATCATTGACAGATTTGTCAAAGTTTCTAAAAAACGCAAAACGTTTATTACTTAAAGATGTTGAATACATGAATTATGTCTGTATTTTTCTATTATTCATTATGAAAAAAATAAATGAGAAGACTAGCATTAAAAACCCCAGTTTTTTTTTTCAAAAAAATTTTTTTATATAAAAAATTTATTGTGGGGGGGAGGGTAATCTGAGTCTATCACCCCCCCCCCCCCANCCCCCCCCCCCCCCCCCAGAAAAATTTCTGGATGCGCCCCTGTATCTATAACGTACTCTTCGACTAGGAATTCCTACTAATAAAGTTGAGAACCTATTTGATAGCAGGAGGAAACAGAAATGAGTTTAAAGGCGATTGTTAGAAATAGCTCCAAATTAGATCAGGCAATCAAATTGGTTTTGACTATTCGATAGATTTCAATTGTGTGTTTTTTTTCTCATCATCGAAATAAGTCATCAATGAATTTTGTTTTTTCTCTCTGAATATGCAACCACCCGAGTACATGAAAGAAAATGGGCCTCAAGAAAGTTGCCTCAATGTGCATACTTTTTTAACAAGGAATCTAAAAATATAAATTGAAAGTAGTAATCATAGAATACTCTGTATTTGTACTATCATCTCGTTGCTTATTTCAGTAGAAATTAGCATTTTTTTGCAGCGTAGTGGTTGAATTAAAAAAGCACAGGCAACCTAATAATCTTAATAGAATCTTCTGTTTGATTACTTTTTTATTAAAAACAGAAATAAAAATAAAATATAAGTAGAATTCAACAAATTTGAAGAAAAAAAATAATAATTTTGTACTCTCTTAAAACGTCTTAACGCGTGAGATTTCAATTTATTTTATTTTCCAGATTTATATTATGATGTTTAATGTAATTATTTAGTAAAAAAAATTATTAAACATGTGACATTATAGCATACGCTAAGAAACTGCAATGTAATTTTTGAATGCGCCTACTGTAACAAAATTTAAATTTTATTTATCCTACATAAATGTTTAATTAGATAAAGATTTCAAATTAAAAAAATACAAAGTAATGCAGCACATTTTTATATTTCCTATAATATTTTTAATAACATAATACGAGCATTTAAAATATTTATTCCTATAATCTCAATAAAAGTTTGCAATATTTGACAGTAAAATAAAGATTCAAACGTATTGTTTAGTGAATACCGTTTATAGAACTATGTTTACGAGTTAGTTGATAACAATACCAAATTTCAACGAGTATACTTTACCTGACTTTTACCTAGTTCATACTGTAATTTGCACAACTAAAGAGCATTTTAAATATTTTTATCTTAGACTTACATAAAGCTCAATAAAATAATACAGAAATTATTTTTTTACATAATATTTTTAGATTTCCTTTTCTTTTTTTGAAGAAAAAAAAACATTTTTGATGAAATAGTATTTAAAAATTCTAAGTTTAAATTTCTCTTAGTATGGATTAAAGCTTGCGATATTTGTATTATTTTTTGCATAAAATTTTGCATGCGTAAATAAGATAGTATGTCAACTTTCAATTTATGAATTACCTTAGTATGAATGTCGACCGGTAATTCATTATAGAAAGGCAATCCTTTGGTCCACTGAACCAACTTATACACAATGTTGTCTCCTATGTGGCAAAGCTTATCATTAAGTTCTAATTGGCACTGCAATAGTTCTCTAGCATTCTTCAATTTAGCGACGTCCTCAAAAGTATCACATTCAACTAGTTGTCGGATCATAGCTGCAGCTTCTTCAGCTGTCATTCTGCTTTCTTGTCTCACAGAACTTGAAACACAGTTATCTGTCCTGTGTCTCAGGTGACTGACTTCAGCTGGACTCGTAAGCGCCGCTTTCAGAATTTGTCCATTTGCCCAGTCTTGTTGAGTAGATATGCGAGGTGTGGCCGCTGGAAGCGCTAGTTGAGGTTGCTGTTCTTGCGTCACGTGACCGTTCTTTTGCCCTTTTCGATGTTTCTTGTACTTGACCTGGAATAAATTTAAAATACTGTTTAAAAAAGATGACTTTCGATATTGACGGGTCTATCCTCTGACCATGCGGTGGAAGCTTTAATAAGCTACGTCCCCCCCACTGATGTAACATTTTTTCCCATCAATTGACCTTGAACAATTGTGCCGCGCTTGCCTCTAAATGAGATGACTCAGATTCGAATCTCAGTGATGGCTGGTCGATATGAATTCTACAACTGTCTTGCACCTACCATAGTGCTTGCGTAAAATATCCTCAACAGTAGATGGATAATATGAGTCCCTTTGACATCAGGCTAACCAGGAGAGATTTTCGTGGTTTCCTCTCCATCTAGCGCAAATACGGATTACTTCCATAAAAAAACTTCCACGAAGGCTAATTTGTCTCAATAATTGATCCAGGAGTTTCCTTGTCGTCTGGATTGGGTTCAAAATTACAAGGCTGCATATTGATAGTAGTAAACTCAAAATTGGGTCGGCTGTTCAACGAAAATTATAAAATAAAAATCGATCCATATCACTTTTTTAGACTATGATTATGAGGTTTAACTTTTTCTAGTAGGAGTATGGGGTCAATATTTAAAACAGGTTTTGGCTCGGTTTGACGTGGAAAAGGGAATCAGGGGTGAGAGAAGCTCCGCTCATTGAAATGTGTTATTTCTTGCTTCCGTAGTAGCAGACGGCCTTAGACTTCGTGGTGAGAGGAATTTTTTTTAGACAAACTAAAGCTTTGTAGTTCTAAATCCAAACCAGGAAATATGCGAACTCTAAAATCAATAATTTGGATAAACTCGTCTTCATGGAGAGAAACACAACAAGACCCTTCCATTGTTAGCATGACGTCGAGGAGATATTAATATAGGGTAGTATTAACTATCGCCATCGACCACAGGGGTAAATATAACAACAGGTGACGAATAACAAACTGACGGATAATCACCACTTTTTTTTTTGTTGAAAATGCACCTCATTTCCATTTTATTATTATTTTCCTTAGCAAAATACGGAATTATTATAAATATTTATAATATTTTTCTTAAATTACATTATTTTAAAATTGTTTCTTAAAATTCTTCTTTATTTATATATGAATCCTGTAATGTTTACTATATTTTGAGAGATTAATTTAAAATAGATGCTTCTTTTATTAACTTCAACAGATTTTTATTCATTAAAAATTTTAAATTTAGAAAAGAGGCCACTGGTCAGCAACAAAATTTTGCAGCTTTGCCATATACGTCCTAACCCATGATCCGATTACCACTTGAAAAATTTTATGTCAGCAATTGTTTATAGTGAACCTCCAAATAACTGGAATTCGAACTAGAGACGCCAAGAGGGACCTCAGAGGAAACCAAGAGCTCTATCTTCTGAGCCATACCAGCTTTAGGATGCAAAGTATGCAGAGAAAATTTTGCTATGAATTGAAATTGCGTGACGCAATTTATCATTCTGACGCAATATATCACTGAAAATTCTTATCATCTGATCAGGGAAACCCCCAATTAATATTATTAGATCTAAAAAAAATAACAGATAAAAACCCTGCTATTATCCCTAATATTCTTTTTGTATTTATATTGTAATTACATATATAAATTTATGTTTTATAAATTTAAGTTTCAAATTAATATAAATTTATGTTTCCAAGAATGGATAATAGAAAAAAATTTAAATTTCATAAAAATTATTCATTTACTAAAGTTAAGAAGTGCCTTATAAAAAATGAAACAAAAATTATTAACTATTTACCTTGTACAAATTATATACAGCTCCTGAATTTCTTCCACCAGGCATTCGATCTTCTCGAACCGCTGGAATATAAAATAGTTTTTTTTTTTTCGTGTAAAGGAAAAAAGGGTTAAAAGAACAAAAAAATTGAAGTTTTACATATTTTTGAGGTACATTATTATGCGTAATATATTTCAAATTTGTAGGATTATGAAGAAGAAATTAGGAAAATAGTGGTGAAAATGTAAGGCCCGTGGAACAGGCGCTAATGAGAACTAGTTTCATTCTATAATTATGAGACTTAGAATATTTATTAGTATTAATTATTAATTAATTAATTAATATTAATTTGAATATTAGAAATTACGAAGGTGTGCAGAAAAATCTACGACGACAAATGTACAATGGTATAAAAAAATTTACGTTTAATAATTAGTTTGAGAATTAGTAAATTTCAAACTTCTAAGAAAAAATACCATTGGGACCACATTTTTATTTGCTATGTTTTTTATACTGAGTTGGGAATTCTCAAACATTTAAAAAATTAAAATTATGCAGGTGTGCAGAAAAATATATCAAGAAATCAATGGAATCAAAAAATTGAGATACGATTATTAGTTTGAGAATTATCAATTACTAAACTTTAATTTGAATTATTAATTGTAATAAAAACAAGTTTTGGCCTCTCTACTGCCTGGTGAAATTAAACTACAGAGTTAAAATTCAATGTGCTGAAAGAGCTATTTTCAATTATGAACTTTATGCATAAAAACAGAAAAAAGAGATTTGCTTATCTTATATCCAGCTGAAAAGCAGGATTACATATTTTTTGTATTATTATGCAAAATTATTCTCCAGTATTAATCATTTTTAAAAATCATTTGCAAATTTGTTTTTTCAAGTTAATCTAAATATGAAGAAGAAGAAAAGAAGTCTCTTGCAATAAGCTCCTTAAAATAGTCACTAAAAAAAGCTTTAAAAAGCTAAAAAAAGCTTAACAAAAAAGAGCTTTAAAATAAATTTTAAAAATAGATATTTCTCTTCACCTTTGAAATCAGAAAAATCTTAAGAACTTATCTCTCTTGGAAAATAGTAAATGAATAAGGGACAGATGGATTATGAATTGAAAATTTAAATATCACATGAATTACAATTTTAAAATAATAGATGGCAGCACTATAGTTTTGAAGAAGGAAAATTTTTTGAAAAGATTAAACTTTTATCAAACAATTTAATATTGAATATGCTTTCTAACAAAGAATGTCTGTGTTAAGTAAAGAAAAAAAATTGAACCAAAAATGGCCTTTTATTCCGAAAATTATATCTACAGTCAGCAGTTAGGCTACAGTCAGGCTTTTTAAATTGGGGAAATCCCTTTAAATTTTCTAATTCGTAATTTATATTTAATTCATAAATCTCAGGAAATAATTCGAAAACAAAATAAATAATAAAAAAGTCTAAATTATTAATTTAAATTTGCCCTACTTTTTCTTTGCTTTTCATTATTTTTTAAAAAGATAATTTTTTTATATTTTTAATTCAATGGCAGTTTCTTTTCAATACAAACAACCTAATAAAGTTTTACTTTCTTTTTTTCTTATTGAAAACTTTTTTAATGACTCAAGCTCTTACTAATAGTTTTTATTTTCTTTTTACTTAGACGATATAAAGTATTATTCTCATATTTATATTTCTGTAGAGAAACCTGAAATAAAATAACTCTTTAATGGTTATATCAATTTTCAAAAGATGGCAGCACCAGAGCTTTTTTCGAAGGCTCTTTTTATATAAAATACTGCGTTCAGTTAAGATTTTAAAAATTAAAAAATTATTTTCTGAATGAGGTGATTGCAAAAGTTTGTTCTCCAATTAAAACTAAATTAAATGCTGCAGTTTTGTAAATAAGTATTAAAAAAGTAATAAGTATTAAAAAATTAATGTAAATAAGTATTTTGTAAATAAGTAAGCTTGTTACAATTTTCAAAGTTTTTGATTATTTGTTTTGCCCCTTATAACTAGCCCGATTTTTCATCAAAGAAAGCAGTTAAAACAATTCTTAGAAGAAAGTAAATTCATAAGTGAAATCTTTCTTATAAGTAAGTAATTTCATAGGTCAAATCATTGTTAGAAGAAAGTAAATTCTAAAAATCATTCTTGAAGAAAATAAATTCATAATTGAAATCATTCTTAGAAGAAAATAAATTCATAATTGAAATCATTCTTAGAAAAAAATAAATTTATAATTGAAATCATTCTTAGAAGAAAGTAAATTCATAAGTATTTTTCATATCTAAATAGTTAAACTTAATATTTTTATTTATTATAAATTATTACATAAAACTATAATAATTTTTTATTATTAATATTTTTTTGCATGTTAAAGAATATTTTTGTAGTGTATTTCTTCCCATTTTGGTCATGGAACATTATACTCAACAAGCTCAAGTAATAAAATACTTATATGCCATATAACTGTTCAAAACGTTAATATTGACTTTCTTACATTATTTTTAACTTTTCCTTCAATTCAAAGCTTCAAATGTAATTCCATTTAAATTTTTACATTTAAAATCGCTTTGCATAGCCATATAAATAGGAAAAAAAATTAAAAATAAAATTTAAGTATTCAAATAATTTTAAAAAAATATTAAAACTTAAAGGTGCAAATGCATGTGCAAAATATTTTCCAACATATTTAACGTCGCGTCTCAGGAGGATGTACCAATTTGTTGACTGCAGATGTTTAAGATTTCCAAATTTAAGCTTAGAATTTGATATTTTCAACAACTTTCATCTTTGGCATAGTGCAACTGAAGAAAATTATAATTGGTTTTAAGTATTCCCTTACCAGCAAGTACCATCCCTTGACGAACACATTTTTGGAAGCGACAGTACTGACATCGATTCCTTTGAGTCTTCGTCACTTCACAATTGCCATCTGCCACGCATGTATAAACCTTCTTATTCTGTACCGTTCTTTTGAAGAAACCTTTACATCTGAAAGAATAAAAATATAAAAGACTCTCACTCTGAAAAAATACTTCTTTTAACTGAATTTATAATTATTATAATTGATTATGATATTTATCGTAACTTTTTCGGCAATTTAAAATTATTGCTTATTTAACTGTAATGAAATAAAAGTGAACCTTCATAGAGCCAACGAAAAAATATATGCACATCCATATTTAAAAAAAAATCAATAAAATAAACTAATTAAAATAAAATAAAATACTAGCCTTATGGGAGCAGCAGAATAAGAAGAAAATAAAAAGTAGTTTGAAAAAAATAGAAATTTCAGTAACAGTCATCAATTTTTGGTTTTCATATAGATCTGAAGTTGCACTGAATTTGTATAAGCTTGTATTCCGATGTAATATTATGTTACAGTAAGCTCAATTCATCTAAGTTTCTCAAAGGGGAAATAGTTGAAAGATGTCTTTAGGGGAAAAAAAAACAGTATTAAGTATTAAAAAATATACTTTATTGCATCAAATTTCTTAAAATACTTTATTTACTGAAAATTCACACTGATCATCTTTCTTCCAGCTTTAATAAAAAAATATTGATATCAATTTCCGGATTATTTCAATTCATCTTTCATCAAAATGTTACTTAGTTTCTAGGCATTTGAAGAACAGCAATTTAAATTTCCTGAGAGGAGACAATCTATTATTAGCCTCCCCTTTTTTTTAAAACAAAAAACACCCTTAGGCTAGTGGTAAACTGATTTTAAGTATTATAAGGGACCCGTTGGAATGTAACTCTGGAAAACCTAAACATCATATTTGGTAACAGTGAATTCCAAGTTAGAGAAACATTTTGGTTACATGTTCAAAATGTATTTGCATTAGCAAAAGCATAGTTAAATTAATTAGCAATGACATGGTGATTTATAAGAGGGAATCATCGTGTACGCATTGGCATGTACCCGTTCTTAGTATATTGAAGAAGAATGGCAAAATTCTAGATTCGTACCCTTCGCAAGTGATGATACCGTAGTGCAGTCCAGTTGCTCTGTCCTCACATATCATGCAGACCATAGGCTGACCATCGTCTTCCTTGCTGGTGGAACTCTCCCTGGAAGTGGAAGCAACGCATAAGTTCAAGGCTTGAGTGTCCGGTGGCGTCGCCGATGAGGAAGGCGTCCGGGATGGAGGAGATTCACCAAAAGGCGTGACAGGCCAAGATTGGAAGGAAGTGGAAGATGACTCTTCGTCCAGGCTGCCCTCAAAAGTGGACTTGGAACAAGACGGCCGGATGGAAGTGAACGAGGTGGTGGTTGAAGATTGCATATATACAGCTGATATAGCTTGTGCAGACTGCAATAAGACAAGCAGACACCTTAGTAAAATGTGAAAAAAAGAAACAGATTAAACGGTATGGACTTTGAGTCGGTTTATAGATTTTTGGAACACACAGGCTGCACTATGTCTGTTTTCAATTTCAAGGTTTTAATGGAAAATACTTTAAGGAATATAGGACAGAAAAGAAACTTTAGGCATCGACGTCTAATTTAGTCTGTCAGTAGATCTTAACAAAATACAGGCTGCACGAAGTCTCTTAATATTTTTTAGCTTTTACTTAAAATATATAAACAGGAATCTATATTTAAAATAAAACTTCATAAACCGTATAGACGTCTAATTGAGTCAGTTAATTAATCTTAGGATAATACAGACTGTTTCAAGTCTCTTTACATTTTTAAGCTTTTACTGAAAATATATATAAAGGGATATAAGTTCAAAAAGAAACTTTATAAACCGTAAAGTTATCTAATTGAGTCGGTTAATAGATCTTAGGAAAATATAGGCTGCACTGAGTCTCTTTATATTGTCAAATTTTTACTAAAAAATAAATAAAGGGATATATGCTCAAAAAGTAATTTCATATAGAGATCTAATTGAGTTAGTTAATAGATCTTTAGAAACACGGGTTGCATTAAGTTTCATTACATTTTCAAGATTTAACTCGAAAATATATAAAGGAAAAAATGTCTAGGCTTTGCTGAAGTTATAGATGAACAATACAATTAATATATATTTCTCGTCGAAAATGGAAACAAAAATATGTGTATCAAGCGAAGACGAAACGAAAACGCTTTCGAAATCTGCCGAATCATTAGCGGGAAAGGCTGGTTGGGAAATATAAAAACCATATGATTTCTCATCCCTGTATTTTCTAACAATGAAACAGGCTTTAGTTTCCCAGACCTCACTAATGATTCGTTAGATTTGAACATCGTTTTTTTTTTCGCTTAACTATTACTTATAACCCCAAATGAGCATACTTTACTTTCATTTTTTTTCAAGAATTCCAAAACTAGATAATAAGGGAGGTCTATACAGAACACGTTATACGTATTTTTGCCTCAATTATTTATTTTAAATTACTAGATGTAATTCTTTGACAGTGATCAGTCACATTACAATTTTTTTAAATATAATATTGGAATAAATATTGCAAAACTATTATTAAGAAAATAAGTGGGAACTAAATAATTCAAATGTAAAATAAAAAAAAATAATTTTTTTTGTTGATTTAATTAAAAAAAATTTATTAATTAAAACACACTTCCCTTATACACATATTTTGTGTCCATGTGTCCATTAACCACGAATTGAGAAGAAGTATTTTTTCAATACTTTATTCTATACATTTAACTCCGTCATAAAATATTTAAGACAATAATTGGGAGCTTGATTCTAATGCAAAATCTTTCTTCTCCCGATTTAATAATTAATGAATAAAATAAATAACACTTCATGTGTACCTCGAATTGAGGAGAAGTAGCTGTAGGCGAAGGGATGGGTGTGTGCTTGGGAGAGGGTGTCCGTTTTGAAGATGGGGGTGATGTGATAGTCGAAGAGGGTGGAACGCGATTTCTGGAGAAAGAAGGGCTTCTCCTCCAAACCATAGTCTTTCCTCGCCCTTGCACGTCCCCCATTAGCAGGGGCGGCGGTTCTTCCTCGGCATCAGCCTCCGCGGGTCCGAAATGTCTCTGGTATGAAAGTGTGCTGGAAGGGGGCCACAGCTGAGGGCTGAGATGAGGAAGAATGTCGCGCCCCTCGGGGTTACCCCCACCATCGAATACACTGTTCTGCCTCTCAAGTTGAGGCATAGCTTCATTGTCTTCTGGTAGACCGCTCCCGCACTCTAGGAAAGGAGGCTGTTCCGTCTGGATATCGTTGCTCTGTTTCTCTTCCTTGTTACCCGAGTCCAGACCCATTTCTGAAAAGAAAAATCGATAAATTTAGAATAATTGCATAAATAAATTTGAATAAGTATATTCTAATAAAAGAATAATTGTGTAGAAAATTTTCAACAAGCATATTCTATTAAAAGAAAAACAGTATAAAAAATTTCGAGAAGCATATTCTATTAAAAGAATAACTGTGTAAAAAATTTCGAAAAGCATATTCTATTGTAAGAATAATTGCATAAAGAAATTTCGAGAAGCATATTCTATTAAAGAATAATTTTATAGAAAATTTTCAACAAGCATATCCTATAAAATAATATAATTGTATAAAAATGTTCCAAAATCATATTCTATTAGAAGAATAATTGTTAAAAATTTTTCAACAAACATATTCTATTAAAAGACTAATTGTATAACAAATTTTCAACAAGCATATTCTACTTGGTTAATTGTATAAAAAATTTTCAACAAGCAAATTCTATTAAAACTGAATAATATTTCATACCCGCCTATCAGGTAAAAATTTATCTCTTCAATTTATCTCCGGCAAAAATTTTTCTAATTATTTTAGTCTCATGTGAGGAATAAATAATATTTCGGACCTTTGTTAAAATAAACTTACCATCGAATAATAGATATTCTAAATGTATAGGTAATTTACAGATGTATTGAGGGCATAATTCTAAATGTATGAACACCTTGTTAAAATACATTTAGAAATTTGAAGCTAATCCCGAAGACAAGGGAACTGCTGGATCAAGTATTGGGAGAAATTTGCGTTCGTGGGGCGCTTTTTGATGGAACTAACCCCCACATTTGGGTTACATGGAGAGGAAGACCACGAGAGCCTCACACGGTTAGCCTGACGGAAAAGGGAAGATATCTACTGACGATATTTCACATCAGCACGGTGCAAGACGGATGCTGATTCGTATCGACCAGCCATCGCTGGGATTCGAACCCGGTTCACTTCTCTGGAAAGATAACGCTTTATCCCCTGAGCCATCGCGGCATTGCTCTAAAGTTATTACAATCTTTTGAGTTTTTTTTTTCCCGTCAATTTTTACCAATTTTTCTTGCTTTGAATAATAGTTATTTATCCACTGTTATCAAAAAATTAATATCTCGCGCTTGACTTGACATTAAAAGTAAGAAAATAAACAAAAATAAGAGAAAGTGATCAGATGTTGCCGACGCACGATGCCTGAAAGGTAACACATCGAGTTACCGTCACCTGCCGCAGTTCCAGGGTTCGATCCTCAGATTAGCCAAGATTGACTCAGTCTTTAATCCTCAGTAAATCGATTAAATGAGTACCAAACAGTCTTGGGGAGTAAGCATCGGGGACGATGTAATATCTGGTACTGCATTTCAGAATACAACATTAAAAACCCCGGAGTGGGCAGAGTAGACTATGGCACTCCCTGGGCTGTTGCGCTTATGAGTTTAGTTATAAATGAGATGTTGCCATGTATTAATCCTAACATTTATGCAGAAATATTTTAAAAATGTAAATGCCTCCAGAAAGATATAAACCCCTCTCAATTTGAACTATTATAGAATATAAGGTTATCTTGATGTTAACAAGTTAAATTTCTTCTCATTCATTAGATCTTATTATGTCACACATTGCATATTTTTAAGTTTAAATATTTGTTTTTCAAGAACATTTGACCGTTTTTCAAATCCACGTAATGGTTCATTTTGTTTTAATTAATGTTCTTACATAAAATTATAATGATTATGTGTTATTTTTCAAGTAAAATGATCATTTTCTTTTTTTATTTCGAAAAGTATCGAATTTTAAAGGGGAAAAAAAACGAAGATGAGTGAGAAATCATCACTGTAGCTGGCGAACGGAGTGACCCCTAGTAAACTAAATATATTTCGGAAATAAATATTCTTTGGATAGAGAAGTAATTACTATAAAGTGTCAGCAGTAATTATTCTTCTCCCAATGAGGTTCCGAGTTCGCATCCCAGCAATGACTGGTAGATACGAATTCAGTACTCGGATCTCACCGACCACAGTACTGACATAAAAATGTCTTAAGTGGTTATCCCCTTGCAGTCAGTCTAATCAGGAGAGGTTTTCGTGGTTTTCCTCTTCATGTAACGCAAATGTTTCATCAAAAGAGTCCTCCACGAAAGCAAATTTCACCTAATACTTATGAGTTGCCTCGTCCTCTGAATTGTGTTCAAAACTACACGACTACGGAGTTGGACATTGGTAGTCACAAACTCAAAATGGAGTAGGTTGTTCAATGACAGCTATAAAATAAAAATCGATCCGTATTCCTTTTGTGGCTATCAATGTTCACCTCTTTATAGTCTGTGGATGTAAAGAACTCCCCTCGCCATTGATCTAAAGCAGTGGCGGTGACGATTATTGCGAGGTTTAACTATTATTCAAGTAGGAGTATTGGGTCAATATTTAAGACAGGTTTTTACTCAGCACGACGAGAAAAAGTAATCAGGGGTGATTGTCAATTGTCTTTCCATTTATTTGAACGTATACTATGAACGGGCCCTATCTTTTGTTTTCACCCCATGCTATTATAATAATAATATTTATTGTTGTAGTAGAGAGAGGAAATAGTGTGTATACCGCTTTCCAGTCTTTTCCCAGCCGCCGCTTGATCGTTGTTTCTATTTCCCATGGAGGATGCTACAGAGGATGAGGAGGCTTTCTTTCGGGATGAGGGGATAGGGGGATGCATGCTGGGGGTATGATCGGCGCTGTTCATCCGGGGTCGCTTGAGCTTCAGGTGGTGAAACAGGGTCATCCTTTCCTCACACAACCTCACCACTACAATCATGGCTTCTGTAAAAGAAAGAAAAACATAATTATAATCATTGATCTCTCAACACCACATCTTTGATCAATGTTAAAGTGTACGCTGCAAAACATTCTTGATAAAATTACGGTAAAAAGTACCGCTGCACAGGGTGCCAGTAATTTTTACCATGAAATTTAATGGAGCAAAAATTTAGTTTACAGTAAATTTTAGAGTAATATTCACTATAATTAAACAAATAATATTGTAAAGATTACAGTATAAAACTTCACGGTAAAAATTACTGGAATCCTAAGTGCCAGAACTTTTTACCGTAGGTTTATCAAGAATATTTAACTGTGATAGCAAACTCAGAGAGCACATGCTAGAAATGTTTTTTTAGTATATTTAAGGTATACGTAGAAATTTGTAACATTATCTCTACAATATATAAAAAAATTATTAAAACTACAAACATTTTTTTATAATTTTAATTATATTGTTTTATAATTATAATTTAAATTTGGTTTAATTTAAATTATACTTCCATTTAAATTATAATTTTTTTCCTTATTTCATTATAGAGAATTGTGATCTAAGCAAAAATTGTTGTTTTGTTAAATTTAAAAAAACAGTTTATACACATTACAAAATTTTCTGAAATCTACGCCTCTTTACAGCATTAAATAAAAAAAGAAGCTTAAATTTGAGTTTACATTTTAATTTTTTTAAATGGCATTACTTATAAAGAGCTAAATAAAACGAAACTTAAAAAATATTTACCAAGAGCTAATTAAAGTTAATCTTAAAAATAAGCTTAAAGAGAAAATGAAATTTAGTTTAAAATTCTTTAATCTTTTCTTTCAATATTTAATAAACTCATAAAAATATATCACGATGAATACAACAATCAACGATAATAATGGAAATATTGAACTGTAAAAAAAAAAAATTATGAATGAAATAGTAAAACAACTACTGAATGGAAAGAACCTGACCTTGAAGTTTCACTACTAGCACATATATATAACAGGAAAACTAGTTTTACACTGTTTATTGCTATCGCGTTTTCTCAAGTAATAGGAAAAGTTTTAGAGGTAATAACTATTTCACATTGTCTTTATGCACTAGTTCGCTGATAATAACCGAATCGATTCGTACCAATTCGGTTACTGTTAATGATCACCGAATTATCATTAACAGTAAAATACTTTCTTTATAAAATTCTAAAACATGCAATATTTTCCCGCCTCATTAAGGAAAATAAAACATTGAAGAAAATAAAAATTCTATTATGTGATTAGAGTATGTATTTTACAAATAAATAAATAAAAATATAATTAGCACAAAGTTAGGAAAACTACATAACTCAACAGACATTGAATAAGAGATGATATATTTGTTTATACGCATAAATTCCAGAAATATGTAAAAAGGCATGAATAAATGAATTTAAAGTTATAAACTCAATAATCCAAGTTTAGAGATGTATTTCATAAATTAATTTGAAAATTAAAAAGCGTATAAACATTTTTGAGAAAGAACCTTTCATTATAACTGTAAAATAAGATTTAAATAAATAGTTTATAAAACATCACTTTGAAGTATTAATCCAGCATCTAATTATAGGATCGATAAGTTTAAAAATAAATAATTTATTCAGCATCTGATTAAATTATTTATTTTTAAACTTATCGATATTCTTTAAACATTCAAAATATGTACAGGATTGAAAATGTTTTATTTAGTTGCTAATTATCTATTAAGTTATGTAACATTATAATTATTTACATACTGATCAAGCAATATTGCCTTATGTACGAATGCTGCTTTTGAAACAATGAAAGAAAAAAATATATTATATGGTTAAAAATATAGGTCTACATATTTCGGACTCCCGGTCGCCTTAAAAAGCATAGATATTGTTCAATATTTTCTTAAGATTTATAAAGTATAATTCAAAAAAAAAAAATAGTACGCTTTTTTCCATTTCTTAACATGTTACCTCCTAAAATTTTGCGTTTATGCAGACCTTAGTTAAGAATATTTTATTCAGTTTCTAATTATCTATTTAGATCATAAATTATTACAATTATTTACTTACTTATAAAGTAATATTAACCATTGCTTTCGAAACAGCATAAGAAAAAAAATAATGCAAGGTTAAAAATTATCTCTTTACTTTCAAGTTATCTTTTAAAATAATGTAATATTCTGATTATTTGCATACTAATGAAGTATTATTTATCACTAATGATTTAGCATGGTAAACAATATAAGAATGAAAGTAGGGCATGGATAAAAACATCTTATTTAGTTTGTCATTATCTATTAAGATTGTGTAATAATCTGATAATTTACATAAAGATAACGTATTGTTTATTACCAGTTATGTTGCCCATAAAACAACGTAAGAATAAAAATGCCAAACAATAATAATGAAAATTATTCTATTTTATCCACTTTTTCATTATATATTAAAAGTATGTAATATCCTGATTATTTTCATGCTAATAACGTACTATTTATTATCAGTGGTTTCATAGAACAATATAAAAACAGAAATGGCGCATGATTAAAATTATTCTATCCACTTTTTCACTATCTTTTGGTGATATATAATATTCTGTTTGTTTACACTTAATGATGAATTGCTTACAACCAGAACAAATAAGTGCCAAAATTGCAAGTTTTATAAAATCTTATATTGCTTATAAAACAATATAAGAACAAAATGGCATGATTACTGCTTTTAGAATCTTATATTGCCTATAGAACAATGCAAGAATAAAAATGGCGTGATTATTGCTTATAGAATCTTATTTTGCTTAAAGAACAATATAAGAACAAAAATAGTGCATGATTAGAACTATTCTCTTTAATTCGGAAGAAAGAATAAAAAGCCCAATATTTTCAAAATTCATTTAGACGCGGAAGCATTTTTTTTATTACGTAATGGCGTTTTTCTAGTACATTAATTATCCTCGGGTCATTATGCGCTCAACACAAGCCATTTCGGGGGAAGGGGAGGTAAGTGAAATATCCATAGATAGTGCTTACTCTTATTGGAACACAGTGAATTCGGGAAATCCCTACCCCCATCCCAGACTTTGGTCTCGCCCACGCCCGGCGGCCATTGACCTCCTGTGATAAAATGTCTCGTGCGCTAGAAATCTCGCGCTTTGTCTATCGATACCAGAGACAGACACACAGACATGCCAAATTGTTGACCTTTACAGTGTAACTGCTGTTTGTGAAGTGTTCACTTAAAATGAGAGAGCTATCGAATTTTCAGTCACTAACCTTTCAGAATCAAAGTACAGTCAAGAACAAAATGTTCATTCGATATTTTTTTTTTTTTCAGTTTCTAAACATGACTACGTTAGTCATCGATCAGAGAAAGTCAAGTTTAAATCATTATAAGGTCGATAGCATATGTTTTAAAATATCTTTATCTATTTTTAATAATAAATTGATTATTCAAAAAGATGATAAGCCTTTTAAAATTGGTCGTTTGAGATATCAAAGGTTATATTTTCTTTAAAATGAACTTCCTATTTACAAAGTTCAAAACAAAATATTAAGTAATAAGTGATAATATAGTACTGATTGTATTATCCTTAAGGGATAATACAATACTGATTATGTTGACACTAAGTATTAGAATATCAAGGATAATATAGTTTTATTAAGTTTGCAATATTCTGGGGAAAAAGTAAAAAATAATAACAATAATTGATTTTAATTTTAAATTGAAAAAGTTTATGAGAATTTGTATGCATATTAGAATACAATGTTGAAATGTATTAAACCTTACCTTAAACTATCGAAATTATTTTTTAAATATTAGGGTTTTGAGATTGCTTTTCTTTTACCTTCCATAATGATTGATTGATTTATAAAAAAAATTTATCAATTTAAAAATATGACGAAATAAATCAAAAATGCTTTTCATTTATAAGCTCGAAAAACACAAATGTAGCTTAATATTTAAAATCATGAAATGATCAACTTTAAACAAAACAACAACAAAAAAACTTTAAAAAAATTCCATTTACAATGAAAAACTTGCTTTTTTTTCTGTAATTTCTGAAGCTGATTTCTAAAATTCATTAAAACATCTCAAAACTTGTTTCTTCCTCTATGCTTTTTTAATCAATAAAATTATTAGTTTATATATCGAGTTTTCGTAAATCTATCAAAATACCTTTAAAACTGATGTCTAATACTCTTAATGAGTTTACGAACAGTGCTCAATAAGTTCATTGACCCCGCCAACTGATGATGTAAATTCAAAACACGGAAGGTAAAATAACAATTAAAAAATCTGCAAACATTTTAAGAAAAATGCCTTTTCCATTTTTTTTTTCAAAAAAATATTTGTTTCAGTTAAATACTATTTTTAGGAATTTTTGTAATAAACATTGCGATATTTCAATAATTAATAGGAGGAACGTTTATTTTAACAACACGGTTTTTACTTCCTCATAACAATGAACTTCCTTAATAATAAAAGTTAAAAAAGAAAATAAAAAGTGAATTCGTGCCAGTGACACAGTCTATGAAAAACTCGTTTTTGATTCGACTTCCAAAATAAAAAACCGGTCAGTCCGTTATACGCAATCTGTTGCAATTCATTTTGTATTAACTTATTTTGTTTACTATCCAAACTTTACGAAATAGTGCCATCTGCAGGTGGACAAGGAAGTTAAAAGAGCATTGCCTCTTGAAATTTAAATCCTGTGATCTAGTTAGTTGTTTCTTGCGAAATTTTATCGCATTAAGAATTTTCTTTTTATTAATTTATTTATAATTCTTTGACTTCCGTTTAAAAGCGGAGGGTAATAAAACATGATTAAAAGGATTATTATTGATTTATTATTAATTTTAAATTTAATTTTATTTTTTTTGTGCATAGTGAACCGGCTTATAAAAACACAAAAATGCTTATAATATAATAAAAGCAGCCCCTCCTCCTAAACAAAATTAATTACAATAGTCTTGTTTGTAAGTAATATTTTATGAAACTGTTTTTTGATTAAAGAGG